AATTTTTTTTTTGCGATGATTATGGCAGGTTAGAAAATTTTTTGGAAATTTGCTATAATAAAAAGTATAAAAAATTTTCGGAAATTTGCACTAATTTTTTTTTTCCTGATGACTGTTTCGGCTATAATATCATTAAAGGCGTTAATTATACAGTACAACAAAAATCAAAATTGGCAAAATCACGTTTCACGTTTAACAATTTTAAGAGTGTTGTTTAAAGGCATTAACAAGATACACAAGGGCAAATGTAGTGAGCTATGCAGACCATAATTTTTGCAAACAACAAATTGTAAGTTACGATGTAAGTTACACTGTTAATTACATATAAAAGGTATACTGTACGTATGTTTATATATAATTTTTTAAAAAATTTTGAAAATTATGTAATTTAAAAAATAAATAATAATTAATATCTATTAAATAAAATTTAAATATTTAGATTTTAAAAATTAGCAAATTATATAGTTTATATATTAAAATACAAATTATATTAAATTTACAAAGAATAACCAACTCTATATGATCTTTATTTAAAATTTTTTTTTGATTATATTTAAGTAATTATTACTCAAATATAATAATGTCGAGTTTACTAAAACGCACCAGTGGTGCTAACACCACATCAATTTTATCCAATAAAATCATTAATCTGCTGTGTAACATAAAAATCAGGTGTAACATAAAAATTAATTGTTTTTCAAAAAATCTTTAATAACTCAAAATTTTGTTTATGAAATTACCTTTAAAGCACTAACAAAAAAAATTCTTTACAAAATTTTAGTATAAATTATGCTTCTGCTCAAGTGCAAACTTTAGCCTTAACTCTAATACTAGTCAAATTTATTTTTATTTATTTATTTGGTTTTGATAATGATTTTCATGTTACATGGCATACATAATATACTGGTGTTAGCACCACAGGTGTGCTTTAGTAAACTTGATAATGTAATATAATTCTTATAAAATTTTTGATATTAATTTATTTCTTTTGTTGCATAAGCTTTGCAATTTTTAAACCAATATCAGAGACTTCGGAAATTTCTGTGCGCATTGTCGTAATTTCACTTTGTTGAGAATAAACACTAGTTTGCTGACTGCGGTAAATTTCAACAGTGTTGTTATTAAAGGTAGTTCGTATTGTCTTCCTTATCTTCCTATCTGATTCTGAAAATTCTAATAAAATTTCTTGATTATTCTTCCAGTTCTCAAAAGTCTCGTAAATTTCCAAAGCAGTTGGGCGCTTTTTTGGATCTGCATCCCAACACTGCGTCATAAGGGTCTTATAGCATTGAGCAGTGCCTTCAATAATATTAGGTCGTAATCCTTCACAAACTTCCAAACATAATTTGTTTTGACTATTTATACCAGAAAAAGCTAATTTTCCCGCGGAAATCTCCCACATAATTATTCCAAATGAGTAAATGTCCGACGCTTTAGTGAATGTGTTTCCACGTATGATTTCTGGCGCCATATATGGAAATGCACCATAAATTCCATCTGATTTTGCAACTAATTTATCATCAACTGTTGTTGAAAGTCCAAAATCAGCGATGTATGCGTCACATAAATCATTTTGTAGTATATTTCCACTATGTAAATCACAATGGACAATTTCATGAGAATGAATTAATTGAAGATCATGTGCAATACAAGATAATAAGCCTAATCGTTTCTTCCATTCCATTTGCTCAACAGATTTAATATTTTGTTGCAAGGATCCTTTTTTTGCATACTGCATTACTAAGATATAATCACCAGTAGATTCATCTTTCGATATCCCATAACATTGCAAAAGTGAAGGGTTTTTGCATCCGATTTGATAATATGCATTTAACTACAAAAGGAATATAAATTAGCCACAATATAAATGTATAAAAATTAAATTACAAATGTATGTACCTCCTTCAAAAGTTCATTACTATTATTTTTTGATTTGTGAAGTAATTTGAGTGCAACAGCCTTTTTTTCGATTTGATTAGTCCACATCGCAAAATATACTGTTGCAAATCCACCTTTCCCGGCTTTTTGTATAACCTTTAGTTCGGCAGGCGGAATCCATGACAATAAATATTTATTTTCATGTATCGATTTATCTAGAAAACTATCAATAACGGGATCACCACAGCGATGTAGTACTTGCTGACCACCGCTTATCTTTGCTCTTTGTAACCATTTAATAGCCTCTTGATGGTCTTGATTTACCCCATTACCGTTACGATAACACCATCCAACACCAACTTGTCCTTTAGGATTTCCATTTTCCGCGGATTTTAAATACCATTCAAATGCTTTTCTTTCGTCTTTAGCAACAAATATGCCATTTTGATACCACAATCCAACATTGTATTGTCCACTAGAATTACCGCCTTTAGCGGACTTTAAATACCACTTAAATGCATTTTTTAGATTTTTATTACTTCCTATACCATTTTGATAACAAACTCCAACCTTAAATTGTCCACCTGGATTTCCGCTTTTTGCTGATTTTACATACCATTCAAATGCTTTCTTTTCATCTCGGTCAATACCTAAACCATTTTGGTAGCAATTTCCAATTTTGAGTTGACCGCCAGAATCGCCACAAATAGCAGATTTCAAATACCATTCAAATGCCATTCTTTCGTCTTTAGCAACACCTATGCCATTTTCATAGCAATATCCTACATTAAGCTGTCCTCTTGGATTACCACCTTTTGCAGATTTTAAATACCACCCGAACGCTTTCTCGTCATCTTTAATGGTACCTATCCCATCATGATAGCACCATGCAATATTTAATTGTCCAGTGCAATCTCCATTTTCAGCTGATTTCAAATACCAATAAAATGCTTTCCTTTCATTTTTAGCAACGCCAATTCCATTCTCGTAACACCGTCCAGAATTATGCTGCCCTTCAGAATTACCACATTCAGCCGAATTCAAATACCATTCGAATGCCATCTTTGAGTTTTTTTCAACTTCTAACCCATTCTCATAACAACGTCCAACATTATATATTCCATCAGCATGTCCTATATTTGCAGATTTTTGATAATATTCGAATGCCTTCTTTATGTCTTTTCCAATTCCTATTCCATTTTCATAACAACGTCCGACATTATATATTCCATCAGCATGTCCTATATCTGCAGACTTTTGGTAAT